TCCTTCATATAGTTCCAAGCCAGTGTATGAGCTCCAGCCGAGACTTGCACTACTGCCTCCTTCCACCCGTCGGTCTGCGAGACCAACCCGGAGCTTTGGTCGTCATCTATCTGGAACATAAGACCGTCATAAGGCTGCTCGGCGTCCACCCGGTACTTGTACGTCACAGAGCCGTCCCGAACGAACGTGGCACTGACTCTCAGAGTCGAATAAAGTCTCGTGCCTTCGAAGTTCTGCATCACTCCGGAGTTTTGGCCTGATGAGATATAAGACCCATCGGCGGAAGGAACCCACGGGTTGCAGTTATGCTGCCATTGACCCGTGTACATGTTTTGCGTCATACAGTCGGTCTGAAGCTCGGCAGAAAGCGGAGAACTCCACGCATCCGTGCGTTGAGAAAACAATTTGCCGCCACCCAGCGAGTATTTGCCCTGTGGACAACGTTCGCAGCCAGATACAGGCACAGATCCTGAAAAACTGCATAATACGTTATGACGGTCATAAGAAAATCATATCGCTAAAAATTATATATGCTGACGTACTTGGCTCCTAGATAATATCCACGGTCACATTGGACGTCACAGCGGAGACCGTGAACGGGAGCTAAATAATCCATAAAACGCAATGTCATACGTAAGCATTCAATATTTAACCCAACATGTTCACTTGTTAACTTACGTTTAGCGAGCACATGGCCCGTCGTGTTGGACGAGCACGTGCCTTCGCTCTTCAAGTAGTAGAAGAGCGTACGCTCATCGTCCACGCAGTCGCTGAAGCCATAGTAGAACTTCGGCCCCGACGCTACAGCTACCGAGGCCACAGAGCCTGCAAATACGAGCCACGCCGCCGTCCGCATCGCCGCAAGTCTTGATCTTGAGATGTGGGGGCCTGACACGCGTGATAGCAGTAGAGTGTACCCAACCTTTACACAAAAACTACGCTGGAATAATCAGAACTCGAGCTAAGTACGAATGTAGTCATGTCAAATAAAAAAGCACGTTGAAGTGTTGATTTGAGTTATAATACGCTGCTGCTGCTGCAACAGCTAGCTAAAAGTTGAACTTGACTTGGCTTCTCGACGTTTAGAGGTGGCCATACTTGCCGCCGCGACGGCCATAGTCTCCCCGGCGGCCGTAGTCGCCGCGGTGGCCATAATAGCCACGGTGTCCATAGCGGTGATCCTCGGTTTCGACCTTGGCCTCAGCAGCAGGAACCTCAGCAGCAGAAACGAGAGCCACGAGGCCAGCAAGAGCAGCGATGATGGCGAAAGTCTTCATTTTGATTGGAGCTTGATTTGAGTGGCTGGAGTCCGATTGCACAATGAGCTTGGAAAACAGCAAGCGCGTTGAAGGACAGGATCGAGCAATTCGTGGATCTCGACGATAACTTTTCCCAACGGCGCCATCCAACAAACTACCCTCTTTTCCCAGAAATGGCTAGAGCGTCTGACTAGTGGGCAAAACGCTGACCACTCTGCAATTGGGCATCTCACTCTGAAGTTAACCAAGTCTCCGACCAACTGCCAAGATGAAGATTTACCTCGCGATCGTTGCAGCGTTTGCCTACGTGGCTGTTCTTGCGAATGCTGAAGAACCAGCAATCAAGGATGCTGCAGCTACTGAAGCCGATCCTGCACAACTCGACCCT